AGTAAATCTCAGGATAAACATGTAAGTGCAGCATACTGACAAAAGCACTGCATTTTTTTCTATTTACTACAGCTTTAACCAACATGTTTTTCTATTTCTTGATTTCTTTCTCCTTAATTTGAGGATTCAGCATTCCCAATTGTCATGTTTGATACCATCCTAAAGAAACCTCTTAGTAGGAAAAAATACTGTTGTTTTGTCTGTGGATTTTATTATAGCATTAGTATTATTTTTAAAAGATGCCACTGGAACTTTAAAATCTCAAGCTTAATTAGAAATATGCAACACTTTAAAAGCTTACAAGTTTTGCATTTTTTCCTCTGGCAGATTAGTTTATATGAGGACATATTGATAAGACCAAGATCATGGGTCAAAAAGCTGAAAAAGACTGTCAGCTTTAGATGGTACACTATTTTCATCTAGCCATCTGGAAAATGTAGGCTATCATTTTATAGGGGGAAGACAGAGAAGGGGGATAGATTACTAAAATCCAAATTTCATTCATATACAAATGGATTAGAAATATTGAAATGAGGGGCACCTGGCTGTCTCAGTAGAGCATGCAACTCTTGGTCTCGGGGTTGCAAGTTTGAGCCCTGCATTGAGTGTAGAGATTACTTAAAAAAATACAAGCTTAAAAAAGAAAAGAAATATCAAAATGAAACATACTGTGAATGTCAATGCCAAGTCTTTGTTTCTAAAAATGTTTAGGACAGGATTTGGATGTTTCTAAAACTGTCCTCCTAGGTCACACTAAAGTCTTAGTCCAGTATTTGATCTTTGTTAGGAGCCCCAAGGAGCCATTTTGTGGATCAATGTGGTTAACTTCCGTATGTGCCTACTACTCCTAACTTGCCATTAGCTCTTCATCATAATTCTTTTTTTCCCTCCAGTAATTTATCTTAAACTTTTTTGTTAAAGATTTTATTTATTTAAGAGAGAGAAAGGAGAGAGCGAGAGTGAGAGAGAGAGAGCATGCAGAAGCGGGGTGGAAGGCAGAGGGAGAAGCAGACTCCCTGCGGAGCAGGGAGCCTAATGCAGGAGTCAATCCCAGGACCCTGAGATCATGACCTGAGCCAAAAGCAGTCGCTTAACTGATTGAGCCACCCAGGCACCGTAATTTATCTTAAACTTATCAGCTTATCCTAATTGTATAAAACTCCATTTTTAAAGTTTGAAATTGAATGCTTCAGAGTATTCTAGGATTCCAAGTATTTTAAACAAGCTGTGATAGTAAAATCTCGTGTATGATTTAAAACAGAAGCTTGTACTGGAGGTTTTTTTTTTTTTCTTTTTCTTTTTGGATTAATCTATTTCACATTTATACTTCAAATGGGATACAGGGTTGTACTCTAGCCCTATTGCTAACTAGCATGACCCTGAATACATTTGTTAACCAATTATAGGTTTGATTTTCTCATAAAAAGCACGTTTAGTATCTGTCCTGGGTTGTAAGGTTCAAATAAAAAGTAGATGTAAAAGTGGTTAGAAATATAGTGTGACATTTATTATTCTAGGTTTAATTTTCCTATCACTATAAAATAAGAATATAATAATGGCCTGTTCTAGATTTCCCATTAAGTACCTTCTGACTCTAAAAATTCTGACTCCTTATCAACATTATAGTACTTGTAAGACAGCATGAGCTATTTAAAGATGTTTTCCTTTAAAAACCTGTTATATTTACTTTTAAAGAGCATGTGCTGCCAAACTGTGCTCTTAAGAAATATGTTTTTAAAAGATTTACTTATTTATTTGAGAGAGAGAACACATGCATGTGTGGAGGGGGAGGGGTAGAAAGAGAAGAGAATCTTTTTTTTTTTTTAAGATTTTATTTATTTATTTGACAGAGAGAGAGAGAGAGTACAAGCAGGGGGAGTGGCAGGGAGAGGGAGAAGCAGGTCCCCGCTGAGCAGAGAGCCCAGTGTGGGACTCAATCCCAGGACTCTGGGATCATGACCTGAACCGAAGGTAGAGGCTTAACCCACTGGGCCACCCAGGCGCCCCAGGAGAAGAATCTTAAGCGGACTCCTCCATGAGTGTGGAGACTCATGTGGGGGCTCAATCTCACAACTCCAGCTGAACCTAGAATCAGATGCTTAACTAACTGTGCCACCCAGGCACCCTTCTTAAATATATTTTTAAGAAAATATGATAAAGCAAATCTATTTCACAATATAATTCAAGGCTGAGAAATGTGGACAAGTTTTTAAACTGGTGGTAAAGAGTAAAAACCTTTAAAATTGTAATTGAGGGAATGGAAACAGTGTACATTAGAATCTATCTTGAATTTTTGATGGAGGTGATAAGTGGTTGTTGCCTAACCTAGAAAAATAAATGCACCTGAAATATGGCAAAAAACATTTCTAAAGTATTTTCAGATTCTAGTCTTAGTATCAATCCTGTTTTCACATAAGAAACACAGGTCATAAACTGGTGGCCCTTGGTCCTATCCAGTTAAATGTTTTGCTGGCTTGCTAATTATTTAAAAAATATTTGAACCAGTGTTTTAAAATTAGAAGATTTCACATAAAGTCCAAATTTCAGGTCCTCTTGACAAATCTAGCAACACTGGGCCCATATTCCTGCATGGCAAAATTTGGCTACAGCTGGGAAGTAATGTCCCATTTAGATGAACACGTGGAGTTCTCTGGTCCCCTCTACTGCCTATTGTTCTTTTTCCCTTATCATCCCCACTGCTACAGGCACTTGACCTCACAAGTTCAGTAGAATACAGAACCACTATAACACATTATATGCCAAATGCCCTATTTTATCATTAATAGGTATTAAGAAACAAAAATACAATCTTTGAGAACTGAGGGAGGCACCAGAAGCAATATGTTTATATAAAGGACAGTAGAGGATATTTTTTGGTGACTATTTACTAATTTAGATCCTTTTAAGTAAATTCAGTCTGCTTATTACAGGTTGTGGATGGGGGTGGCAGGAATGGTAGGAAAAATATGAAATATTTTATTTGTTTTATTCAAGACTTTTGATAGATGAATTTTCAAACACATATTAGATCTCTGAATGTAAACTAACATGAAGAAAAGGTGAAAGAGGGGGCCCAAAAAGAAAGTGTTTTTCAGCAGACATAAAGTAGTAATGTTCATTCTCACTCAAGTGGCTGCCCACATGCTAGCAGAGCTTAATCTGGACTGATAATATTCATCTGTAGATGCCAAATAACATCATATGTCATGTGGTTGGAAACTATAGTAGTTCTATTCTGTTTTGCTATCTGGCATCTGCTAGTAGAAAAATGTTGCAACATGTTCAATTTGGCTAATTAATTTAGACTCATGTGAATAAAATGTGCGGTGTCTAGCTCTGAACTGTGCCTAGGCCTAAGAACAGGAACTGTTCTTCTTGGATGAATTTGGATGATGCCACTGGTTCTGGTATACTTCACCAGCAGACACTACTATTAAGTTAATAGAAAATGACACATCCTACTCACACAAAATACCAGATGGCCAGCAGTTGCCTTGGTATCTGCTTTGATAACATCAAGATTCATCTGTATTTGAATTGCAGGGCCCACACATCTTTCATCAACAGTCCTCAGGGTGCCAGGACTTGACACTCATGAAACTGTGCTGACATCAGTACACTGCTGCAGATTGTATCACATCAGCTCCAAGTGTTGGTGAAGTAGCAGCAACACTTTACTACAGGGAGACAGTCCAGGATACTAGCACTTACTCTCCACAGACAGGAGGATTAAATGCTAACTCTTCTTTGTAGGATACCAAGGGTGTGTGTGCAGAGAAGTGGGAAGGATTTAACTAACAACTCATAACAACGGTAGATATAGTTACATTTGAGAAGGCTTAATCATTATTGGTGAAGTATGAATACTGTGAAGTATTCTTGCAAAATACGTGGAATTTAATTAAGCCTCTAGATCAACTTCTGACTTACAAGAAATAAGAAAAAAGGAAACATTCAAAAACACCTCTGGCCTGAACTCTTTAAAATGACAATGTCACAGGGAAAAAAAAACAAAAACGATAGGGGAATTGTTCTAGATTAAGGCTAAGAGTTTTAACACCCAAATACAATACATAAACATTGACTGGATCCTGAATTTTGTTGGAGGAGCAGGGGAAAAGGTATAAAACATATTCTTGGGTCAAATGAGAGAATATACATACAGAGTAGATTTTAAATATCACAGAATTATTAATATCCTTAGTTGTCATAATGATACTATGTTTTTCAGGAGAATTTTGTAATTCTTAGGGAATACGTTTTGGAAATTTTAGAGGTGTCTGCTTAACAACAGGTGTCTAACCTATTTCCAAATAGTTTTATGACAATGAAAAAAGCATGAAAAGGGGTGAAATAAATATGGCAAAATGTTAACTGTTGGATCTGCGTGAAGGGTATATGAATGTTTATTACAGTCTTTCGACATTTTATATGTATGACTTTTTTTTTTAATTGAGGGAAGAAATCATGTTGCAAAAACTTCAGAAGGGCAATCCAAGAGGCTGAGTAACAAGAACTACACTGAATTTAATCAAATGAAGCTGGCAATGTCTTCAGCACCCGGGAAACACCAAATATATTCAATGTTTTAGTAAGTATTTACCAAAATCATACGTGCAGGATAATATGACAGGGAGATGAATCTACAGATTCATCTAATAGACAAACCGTTCTATTTAGATGTAAACATAGCAGTAAAGCTAAGAACTTAAGCAGCTGTTATATAAAATTGTGGTTGTCATAAAAAAAGTACAAAAAGTGCTAGGTAAGCACAGAGTAAATTACTTCCTGTTGCAGAGAATCTGGAAATACATCTCCAAGGATAACTAGGGCATGGAAACAGTCACAAAAGGTTAGTGCCTCAGTGATGAATCTTGGAAGAAACAAGAATAGTTCATTTTGGCTCAAGCATGAGTAGTATGGAAACAGAAAGAAACTAAGTAAAGAAGGTAGGTTTGCACCCTTGTTGACTGGCTGGGTAAATACAGTTTTCAGTTTACCTGAAAGTTCTCCTGGTCTTTTTCCCCGCAACGTTAGGCATCCAACCCAGTATTACCAAGATGACTTAACGTTCTTGACTCAAGCCTACAGAAGAAACTACATGAGATAATGCGACAACTCTGAAAAAAAAAAAACCATATAAAAGTATTACGGTATACTTAAGAATATTCACAAACGTTAAATTGTTTAATAAAATGTAGGCGTGGAGGATAAGGACGGTATAGCTTCACCCAGAAATGCAGTCATTGCTTTTAAGCCCCCAAAGGAGTGAAACAAAAGAACATTCTTAATGTTAAGACCGGAGGCAGGAAAATAAGACTCAGAGGTGTTGCCGAGGCGGTGGAGGACCACCTTCCTCCTTTCTAGGTGGTAACGGAAAACGATTTTCACAAGCTCCAGAATTCTCCGTCCTCCAAAGATCGGGGTGAAAGCACTTAATAGGAACTTGAGGGGCGCGGTCAGGAACTCCAAGTTGCGGGAGTGAGGAGCTCCGCCCCGCGGCGCGCGCCTAAGCCCCCTCCGGACCCGGGGGCTGCAGCTGGGCGCGAGGGGCCGATGGAGCGGCCTCGCCCCACAGGGAACCTCAGAGGGGCGGGGGTGGGGCGGGGGTAGGGCGGGCAGGCCAGCCCGGAAAGAAAACCTTCTTCCAGCGGAAGCGGCTGCGAGCCCCGCTCACCTCCTCGGCTCTCCGTCTCCCGCGGGCCGTCTAGCTGGGGGCCGCCTCACGGGACAGGGCGGACGGACCCTCACCTCACTTTGCGACTCCAGCTGGAATGGGCACTCCCTGGGGTGCCGGGGGCTCTGGCTATTCCCACCCTTCCGCCATGACCCCATTCAGAAGTGCCAAATGCAACTTCCGGGCAGGACAGGGATTTTCGGAACCCTAACCTCCTGTCCACCTAGGTAAGTGACCAGACGTCCCAGCAAAATAAGGGCCAGGAAACCTGGTTCTTCCTCTCCCCCATCCCGGGCAGGTAGTTCTGAATATGAATTAAGTTGTCTAACCTGGGATGTCTGGTCACCTTTGGTCCTTTTTCGGGCCTACTTACACATTTACCTTCCCAGACGGCTCGACTGTTGCCCGGGGCAACGGTGAGATTTGGGCGAAGGGAAAACTACGTCACACTGGAGACGAGAGGCCAGGAAACTCCCTGCCATTATCAGTTATGGCTGCCTTAGCTTCAACAGTAACTTCCGATTGCGAGTTGTCACTCTACCCTGCTGGAGGCTTACTCCGTGGCTCCGCTTGCCAGCGGCACCCAGTGGGCGGGAGAGAGGGTAAGAGCAGCTGAGGAAAGGAAAAGGGCGGGGCGAGGGAAGCTGGCGCTAATGTCTCACTCTGATTGGACCGCGTCGTTGGCGCCAGTGCCTCACTCTCATTGGGCAGCGTCGGTATGCTTGGCTCCGCCTGTTTTTCTTCCCCAGCGAGTGACGGGCCTGCGCCGGAGGGGTGGGGCGGGGCGGTAGGAGCGAGAGTGTGTGGAGGGGCGGGCGGGGCGGGGCGGGGCGAGTGGGGGAGGGGCGGGCGGGGGGCGGCGGTTGGGCAGCGTCGCCTCTAAGGAGGAGGAGGAAGGAGGGCGAGCGAGGAGGATGGCGGAGTTGGGGCTCCTGACGGTAACCCGGGGCCGCTGAGGCGGGAGGGTGGTGGTTACTCGGTTCTTCCTGTCTTCCTTCCTACCCGTCGGGCGGTCCCGCTGGCTGTCGATAGGGGGAGGCCCCGCGCGCCCTGGGGGGCTAGAGCCGGCGGGGCCGGGGCGAGGCCCGAGGGGCTGGGGCCCTGGGAGGCGCCGCCGCCGCCGCTTTCCTGGGTGCTGTCGCAGGGAGGGCCGGGCCCTCGGAGCCGGCTCTCGTGCGGGTCCCGCAGCCGGGCGCCGAGAGTGAGCCGGCCGGCTCTGACAGCGGCCGGGGCCGGGCCTGCGGTGGCGGAGGGCGGGCGGCCGGGGCAGCGCCCGGGCGAGGGCGAGCCCGCGCGAGGGCGCGGGCCGGGGGCGCCGGGCGGACGGCCCTGCTCGGTTCTGCCCCCGGGGGCACCTGGCTCAGGCTGCGGGGCGCTCCGTGGGCGTCCGGGAGGCGTGTAAATCGTTGGCGGGGGCCTTGGCGCAGTGCTAGTGGTGCGGGGTGGGGTATTTTCTCGCGTCTTCCCCAAAGCCCACCACTCTCTCCCCTTCTTCTGTCCTTTCGGTGAAGAGTGGCGAGTTGGCTTTGGGTATGTTGCCTGGTGAGGCGAGTTGTAGGCATCCAAGACCGCCCTGTTGGACTTGCTTGGTGGCAGCTTCTTTCCGCGGTAGCTTTTAGGAATAGAGGAAAAGTACTCTTATCTCCTCTCCTCCTCCCCTCCTCTTTTGCCCCCCCCCCCCAGCTCTTAACGCTGGAGGCTTCAGGACCAAACGATTTTCCCCCAGCCCCTCAGTATCCATTGTTTTGTACCATCCCCCTCCCCCGCCCCAAGCCTAGGTAGAAGCAGCATGACTTCAAACCCTTAATTGCCCCCTCCCCCCCGTTTTTAAATCAGCAGAGGTTTTGTGTTGTTATGTTAGTACGGATTTACAAACAGGTGGAATGAATACCGATTCGGGAGTTGGAAAAAAGATGCTTTTTTGTGTGTTTTTAAGCTTTCAGTCCTTACAGTTGGTGATTTGATTTTCTTGTCTGTAGCTTTGTATCATAATCGGGGTGATGAGAATAAAAGAGGAAGCAATGTTTTGCAACCTACCCAAAGAAATGTTTTTTAAGTCTCTGGGGATGCTGAAGCAAAATTGGGTTGTAGATGTGTACTGTATAGTATTTGCTTCCATCATAGCTACCAACAGTCTCTAGCTTTCACCTGTGCAATTTTGTACACTTCATGAATGTCAGCTTCCAGTATCTACCGAGAGGCATTACTGTATCTAAAACTTATTTTTTGTTCTTCAGAATCCTAGGGTATACTTGTGTAACCAGGTATTTTTGTATTTAAGTGTAGCGTTAATACTGAAAATTACTTTATTTTAAAGACCTCGGTTTATTAGTGTACTAATTTCTACCCTGGCCCTTCCATGCCATATCTCTTATAACTGTTAATATGTATTTGAAGAAACTTAGCTGTTGGGTACAATTTGTAACATTCATACATTTATGGTTTGAATTTATCAAGTGTTGACCTTCTGTGTGACAGTGACAAGAATTTTTAGAAATTATATATATAACACCATTCTCTACCTATGGAATTTAGATTGTGATAAATCTTTTTAAATACTTATTTGGACATAAGATACACTGAAGCTTTTATTTAATTATGAATATACATTTGAAAAATCTCAGACAAGTAAAGGCTTTAAGGTTTGTAACTTTCAAATGGCTTAAATATAAAGCTAACATAAAACTATATTCTTGAAATGACAGTTTTGAGGGGTGGACCTAGCCTATCTGTAAGATTACTACTTTTTCTTAGGGTGTTTAGTTTTTGAAGAAACAACTACCTTTACTCTCGGGTTGGCATTTGCTTATTGATCTCTCATTGTTAATACAGTTTTCAAGTGTTTTTCTCTTGTTAAAAGTTGTTAGGGATAAAAGTGATATTAAGAGATATATTAATAGCTTGCAGCTAGGTTTTTAAAAAGTTTTTAAACTACCATTTTCAGAAAGTTGATCAGAGCTGTGTTTTGATAATTGTAGCCAGACTTGTAAAACAGCTTGTGATTTACAAACCAGTTAGAAATTTGAAACAAAAGGAATACCAAAATTATAAATTCTAGTGTTATATTGCTGGAATTGTGCTTTTTAAGTATTACTATTTCTTCAGTGACTTGGGACAGGGCTTGTCCCATGTTCAGTGAGATATAAACTAGAATTCTATGTGGAATATTCCCAAAGATGCCTTCTAATAAGCTGCTGGGGTGTGTGTGTGTCCCAAAGATGCCTTCTGAATATGCTGCTGGGTGTGTGTGTGTGTGTGTGTGTGTGTGTGTGTGTGTGTGTGTGTGTTATTTATTTATTTATTTTTAAGTAATCTCTACACCCAGCTTAGGGCTTGAACTCACAACCCCAAGATCAAGAGTTGCTTGCTCTTCTGACTGAGCCAGCTGGGCGCCCCTCTGCTGGTATATTTTTTGACTTGCTTTACCCATGTGGGGGAAAGGTAAATAATACTGAATTTCTTTATTATCCAGGCAGTCCTATTTGTTTTGAAATGCTGGATTATCAATATCTGTTGTGTGTAATTTAATATTTCTGTAAGACTTGTGTTCTTTAAACAATTTTTAGATTTTTTTCTAGTAAGATATTTAAATATAAAAATAAACTTGTGTTTTTGATTAAAAACAAACCTTAACTTGTGTGTGCAGATATAAGGATGAGTATTTTTTGGAGGTTGAAAGAATATATCTTTAGAATTCAGTTTAGGGCGCCTGGGTGGCTCAGTTGGTTAAGCGACTGCCTTCGGCTCAGGTCATGATCCTGGAGTCCTGGGATCGAGTCCCGCATCGGGCTCCCTGCTCAGCAGGGAGTCTGCTTCTCCCTCTGACCCTCTTCCCTCTCGTGCTCTCTCTCTCTCATTCTCTCTCTCTCAAATAAACAAATAAAATCTTAAAAAAAAAAAAAGAATTCAGTTTACTATATTGTGTATCATTTACGTATCATTCATGTATGAAAACAAAATCTATGCTTATAATCAAAAACCAAACAAGAGCAGCACCCCCCCCAACAAAATACAGTAAAACCAAACAGAATGACCCGTAAATCCTTCAGTGAGTTCTGAGGTTTATGTTTTGACCGTGGTGGAAGTGTTCTTGAATTAGTTTATAAAATATCAGTTCAGGGAGGAGAGGAAATTTAGACATAGAATAAACACTTTCCTAATAAGACTAGTAGGGAATTGGTAAATATTTTGTTGTGCATAAATTAGATAGAAATTAACTGTAATTTAGCAGCAGAGTGATATATTAAGTACTTTCACATGGTACTTGAGAAATGAGTACTGCAGATATTAAATTGGTTGCTTTTTTGCTTATTGTTAGACTTACACTTCATGCATTTTATATTATGTATTGGCATATTATAATTTAAGGCTAAATCTTGCCTAGGCTGAATTAGAAAAAAAGTTGCTATCCCTGTGTTCTCATTTTTGTTTTGTCTGCTAATTATACCACATCAAAGTTAGGCCATATAAATCTTTCTGAAAATATTTTCTCTCCGACAATATACTAGTTAAAATTTTGCATTTTCCCAGCTCTGTTTACACTGACTCTTAAAATCTGAAAAAATTTTTAAGTCACAAGGTGACCTATGGAATGCTTGAACTTTATATAGAGTGTTCTGAAATGTAATTGCAGTCAGTGAAGGCTGAAAGAAACAAGGATAAGTTGGAAAAACTGATTTGTGTTCTAAAATATGTAATTGCATTATTTTTTAGGTAAACTAATGCTCATTCCTTGGTACTTTCCCCTGGTTCCCATCTTTTTAGTACAGCATCTTTAATTCTGTAAATCAAAATTGTAATACATAAAAAGAATATTCTAATTACAAAAGGCTCTTTAGCTCTTAAGATGTTGGTAACATATGTGCTTTCTGAGAAAGTATGAAATTCCCATTATCAAGATTTAAAAGAACTAATTAGATTTCACACTATATATCTCATTCCAACTTCTCTAAAGATCAGAACTGATTGCAAAAAGTAGTGCATGTTGTAAAAGGTAAGGGTTCTTTTATCAGAAAGAATGAACATACTGCTTGAAGCTAAAACATTAAAGGAGACCTTAAAAGTGGGTAAAATTGGTCCCTATGTGAAATGAACCTGAAAGACTTTCATGAAGTATTTTGGCTTGTCTATCTTCTAATGTTTATAGCACTGTGAACACTTAAAATTTAAGCACTTTATTTGCCCTCAAATACTATTTGTAAATTCTACAATTTTAATTAAGTAATTTCACAGTTGATAAAGATAAATATTTTTTTCTTTTGGTTTTTCTAATGTCTTGGAGGTAAAGTAGAAATTACTTGTTCTGACAATGATGAGATTAACTCTAAATTCTAGATATTATCAGTTAAATTTGCACTTTCTCAGTTTCCAGTTTTGTGTTGTACAACACTCCTTCCTGCTTTCAGGACTCACAGTTTTGTAAGTAGTCGTTAAGTTAACTTTAAGATTTTGTTCTGTAAATATTTCTTACTATAATTTCATATTCATAATGTCATTGACCTTCTCCTAAGTGCCATGTATGTCCCAGACTCTGAGGATACATAGATAAATACGTTATGTTTTCTGCTTTCAGAAAGT